CCAATGAACCCTTGACCCATAGGAAAGCCCTTTCATACAACTTTTTTTATTCTTGTCACTTCGAATCCCACCCTTTCTGAGGACTTCACTGATCTGGGCAATGTAAGTCCTTCTGGAATGTCCTCTTAAAACCCTTCAATCCACTTTCATCTACATTTAACTGCCTCCGTGGTCGAACTACGAACCAACATGCTGGACTGGGAAGATTTTCGGTTTCCGGAGCCGGGAGAAATATATGTATGGCCTACTTTAATTTTATACTTGTCTAATATGTGTGTCCATGACAACAACGATGCGGGGCTATGAGTGTGTGCAAAAAAAAAACATCCGCATCATAAATAATAATAATAAATAATAAAATCGTTTATTTATATCCACACATTAATAAGTAAAAAAAATATAAAAGTTCTACACAGTGTTTAGTAACAATAGTGATGAGAGATAAAAAGGTCTGTAGCTCAGCACAATGGCGGAGTATTTCACAACGCCGCTGATATTCTGCTAGAGCCTACCATGTTCATAAAAAGAAGAACGAACACACTCTATCATTCTAGTTCTAAGATTTCAAGCCGATTGTTAATAAACATGTTTGGTAGTTCTTCTTACATCCATCCGCTTTACATACTCAAACCACATCACCATTCCTTTCTTTATTCCAGTCACCACATCCTCTTTCAAGTCACGTCTTTCACGTGCAGACATGAACATAATTTGGAAGCAAGTTCGAAACATATTTATACGAACCTCGCCTTGCAAATACTACACATGTGGGGAATGCTCAATTTGATTTTAGAGAAGTATATCCACTTAAAGTTAAAAATAAAATATTGTATGAGTAACTACACGATATATTCAAGCATAGACATTAATCAGAAACATAAAACAATAAAGTTTCCTCGATAGATAAAAATCACGAAATGACCTCTAATTTTCACATTTTTTCGATTTATCCTCGAAATGCTACAGGTTATTAGGACAAAAATTAGATAATTAATTATATTTATGCATGATCGACAACTGTCACCGTGGATTTTTTTTAATCTCTTTAGTTTTAGAGTTATTCCGCTAAAACGAATTTGGCACTTTTAATGCGCAAAATTCAACATCTCCTGTCGCATGACACGCGAACTTCAGGCATATATTTGTTTCACAAATTTGGGCGGAGCCAACGTCGAAACTTTTTTGGCATGTTCCCTCTTAAACAATAATGACATAAAGCAAAAAATAAAACACAATGTGACAAAAATATTAAGACAATATTTAAATGAGAGATAATGAAAGTTGCAAAGGAACTTTTTGACAAGAGACCTCTGCCCAATGTCGATGTCACATTGATATTGAGAGCAGTGTGACCATTTGTGGCAGATTTAATTTTTATTTATTCTCATTGCTGCAGAACATGATAAGTTATATTTAATGTGGCAAAGTTTGACAAATTTGGGAATATTCAGGAAGTTCTTTATTATTTTTGGGAACAAACTGAAAACTTGTTGTTTTCTGCTACTACGAACAAACATCTGAAGCGAAATACAGGACAATGTTATAAATATAACCTATATCAACTTTAAAACTGCAGCTTCTACAGGCTGTACTCAATTAGCTTGTTTGATGCTTTGATAATGAATCACAAGTATTGATAGGTCTCCTTAATGCACGTCGTCAAAAACACGGAGTTACAAAACACACGGAATGTCGCCATCCTTCTTTGTTTCAGACTTGCTTACAAATGTTCGTGTGTGTGTGTTTGTGTGTGTAAAAATAAATAACCAATAAAAAGAGACGGACCTCGGTATTAATTCTTTTCTTTATTAGAGTAATTTAATGTATCTATTAAAACTTATAAAACCAAGTCAGACGTGTATATACACTGGATACAGAGTCATATTTTGCGTTATTCAGAAATGCACATAGCACGCACATTCCATCCGTTTCTGCACTTTCCGTTGGATCGTGAATACTGTAGTATCTGTGCCATTTGAAATACTCGTAGTATTTGTTTTTGTCTTGAATAAGTTCGTTCATCAATGACGCCAGCTCCTTCGGTGTTAAATCACTAGCATTAATATACGATCCCGGAGGCAAGAATCTAAAATTAATAAGCATATAATTAGTTCGGAAACAAACTTTCGTTTAACACATGGATTCCCAAACATTTTAGTTCACCGCCTACTTAAGCAAGAAAAAGAAATTCAACGCCCACCACTCCAATAAATCATTGAAACCACGTATTTTTTGTATTAACTTGACACAAACATTCATAGGAAAGAAAATTATATACATTGTACGGACAACGGCACATCAGGCTACACATTTTTGTTCGAAAATCGCCTCCAGTGCAACGGAACAAGATACGTCAATGTGTAGCTTTATGTGCTGGCGTGTGTATGTTTTTTAGTATATATGGGTAATTCAGGTTCTTTTTTTTTCAAATGCGATAGCACCCTCTGGACAGCATCAACGTTCCCCTATTGCTTTCGAGACCCCTAGGACTCTTCAGCGCCCACTGGGGGACTGTAGGAACCACTTTGTTATGACACAAACAAAGTTATGAAGTGCATATTTTCGAAAGTGTTTCCATCATGATAATTGTATAAATCAAGTGTAATATAACATTTTATGTGCCGATATTTTTATTTTGATAATATACAGGTAAGTTAAAAAGACAAAAAAAGCTTAAATATTACAAATCAAAACTAGGATTTTTAAATTTTATGAATAAAATTGGGTCCTCGCGGCAAGGTGCACAAGATGCTGGCAGCGTACCCTCTTTATATGGCTTTGGTAATGCGTTGGGCAAGGTAGCTGCCAGGCCGTGGGTTTCTCAGACAGTCTATTAATTTTTTGGATAAAATTTTATACAGATGAAGGGCACAGGGGCCAAGGGTTTCGACTCCAAAGGCTGTAAATAGGAAGTTGGGACCGATATCCTCGTACTTATTCAGGGAAATACTGCCTTCTTATCTATTTCTCCGGCCAAGCGGTAATGTTACTATTACTGCGTTCCGGTTTTGAAGGGCAAGGGTGCTGGCAGTGGCGGATTTGCCCTAAGGCCCAGTAGGCCCGGGACTAGGGCGGCCAATCGTGACAAAAAATTCACCGATGATCACAAGAATTAACCCAAAGTACCAAAATATTATAAAGGCTCACGCACATTATAGCGGGCCGCACTGTACCGCATCATATGCCTAACAATAATCTTTCTAAAACACTTTCGTAGATTTTGTGTATAAAATATAGATTATTTACATATCTGTAATGAAATGTTGACGGCCTTCGTGGCTTGCACACCGGTTTTCCCGGTGTCGCCATCTCTGAGGTCCAGGTTCGATCCCCGACCGGGTCAGTGTAGAAATCTAACTTTTTAATATTGTCTCGGGCCTGGGTGTTTGTGGTGCCATCTTTGTTTCCGATTTCCATAACACAAGTGCTTACTTTGGGATCACAGCAACGTATGCGATGTTGTGTATTATTTATTTAATGTATAATCACTACATCACAACATATTGTCACTACCGCGTCTGCTCTCTTTTTGATCACAATAAACTCGAAAACTATTGAACGGATTTTCATGCGGTTTCCACCAATGGACAGAGTGATTCATGAGGAAGGTTTGAATGTACAATTTATTTAGGTTTTGTGTAAGTTGACTGAAATATGACGATAAATATTGAAGGTGTCGGAAAAAATCTTGCCGGCTGGGCGCTTTACTGGCGTGCGCCCTGAAGACTAATAGAGATAATAATATATCAAATAAATGTTTTAAATTTAAATTTAAATGTGTAAAAATTCCTCCTAATCCTAGAGTCGTATACCTCATTAATGAGGGTCGTGACCCCCCGCGGACACAAGCTCCGCATGACAACGCTGTGCCATCTGTGGCGGTCTTTGGCATAGTGAAGCGCATCATGGAGACCCATGCCGAGAGGAGCCGCAACAAACTTAGTCGGACCATCTTGTGGGGCAGCGACAGTTCGAGGTTGTGCCCTTCTTTCCTGGCAATGTGACCAAAGAAATCAAGTATCCTACGTAGACATAAAATGGACAGTCTGGTCTGGACGCTAAGTTCCTGCAAAATTGAGTCGTTGTTGCAAAATTTAAAAATATTAAATAAGAAATTTCTGAATAGATTTCGATAAACGTTGGCAATAGAGAAAATTTATTATGTAATCTACCAGTAGGTATATGATGAGTCCTGAGAAAGGGGCGGCTGGTACTGCTGGTACTAGGGCGATCAAGACGGCAAATCCGCCACTGGGTGCTGGTGAAATTACAGGCACAATGGACTTGCAAACCATACTAGACGCTATGCCAACTAAGCCACGGAACGAACCAGCGGACCTTAAGAATTTTTCCATGTGCTTGTTGGCAGATCTTTATTTTTTGGGTTTTATCGACTTTTTATGCCGTAGGGCCATTTCTGTCAGGAACTTATTTCTTCCCTTATTTCTTCATTTAATTCGGATCCGGCCGCATCGAAGGATTTTTTTCCAAGTATTCGGTCTTTGTTATTAATAATTATAACAAAACTAGAGGAGCAATTTCACAAAAACAGTTGAATATCACAGTAATAAAACGTCGCGACATTAAATAAAAACTTGAAAATTAAGAAGATTTTATTCATCGACAGAAAACATACGTAATTAATCAGGTACAGAGTACTAAAAAACCAACCTTACAAGCGACATCCGAAGTGGATCCGAATTTCTAGATTTGCATAATCTAGGATTCCGAACGAATACATATCGGATGCGCTAAATTTCGAATGACATAAATACCGACCACCGACCGTACTGTACTTGCAGTAAAGAGTATTTTAATGTGTACAAACATTGACTTACAAATATATGGACGTCGGGTCCGCGCTAAAAAGTGTCCGAACTTATAGGGCGTTAAAATCGTATACAGAGCCTCATTCACGCTCTAGTCTTCGTTTGTTCGACTGACAGCGAAGCAAGCAAAATTAGACAGTAGGTACTGCGATGACATCACAATTTAAATTCAACGTTTTAGCTTTTTCATATTCCTTTACATGTCACTACGTTTAAATAGGTTGACTTGGGACATTTATTTCGTTGTTTTTGTATTAGACCCGTCGTCCATTTATTTGTAAGTCAATTTGTACAAAGGATAGAACAAGCAGAAAATGGAATTTAAACGGCAATTAGACCAGGTAAGAGTTTTTTTTTTTCATAATACCAATAAAACAAGTCGTGCGCCTGATGGAAAACGACATCCATAACAGGTGCAGTGCCAATCAGAGATTTAAATCGCAAAGATCTGAGAGGCCATTGCGCCCGTCACCCTAAGATATAAGTTGACAAGTCCCTTGTGCCTGTAATTTCACCAGCACCCTTACCCTTCAAAACCGGAACGCAGTAATGCTAACTGCTTGGCGACAGAAACAGGTAAGGTGGCAGTACTTCCCTGGACGATTCTTTGACAAGGAGCTCTACTGCTCGTAAAATTAGCTAATTTGCTGGTTTTCAGGCTTCACCCGACAAGTATTCACGGCATGAGTCGCCGTAGCATGTAGATATAGATATATTTTAAATGTTATATAACTAAGAGGGTACCTTATTCACTGCATAGAAATATTACAAAAGCGTTTGCGTAAGTCTGATCCGTATCTAGCCCTGTATTCTCGTTGGCCATCCAAGATCCGTCCTAAAGAATTGCTGTCAAATAAGTAATACTCGACCAAATCAAAAAAATAATGTCATGTCACACCCCGGACACTCCATACAACGATCGAAAAATTATTTACCTACTTCTACTGCTTACAGCAAGGCGCTATCTGCACACGCGCAAATGTGTGCGTGAAGTGGCAGGGTTACCCATCACTTTCTCGCACTATTACGTTACGTGGTCAGAGCGGCAACATAGCGAAAATTCTAACACGAATCTGTTATCTACGATTCTATTAATAGAATTCTAATAATTATACACGTCTATTAAGTATTTATATCGATACATTATTATATTTTTCATTAATTCACTAACTAGAGTAATATTGAAGATTTATTTCAAAAAAATCCGCTCACGCGATACTTGTAGCCGTAGACGCACACCACACCTAGAGGTGCCCGTGATGATTTTATACCGATTTATCGGATATCGAAGTTATAACAGGTAAAAGAACTAATATTAATTGCTATTTCGGTAACCACTCTGGCAAACCATAAAGTTTTTAATGCCTGGGTCTGTCATTAAAAAAAATAAACAACTTCAAAAATACGTCACGACAATCGTGTGTGTTATTGTTTGGGCTGGTGATTTCGGTGTTTATTTATTGAAAACATACCGTAAGTGGCGTTTTTTAAGTTTACCCTGAATATAAATGTTTATAAACTATACTTTAAGGAGTAATTTCATGGTAAACGTTAGAACCACTCAAACGGAATATTATCATATTTATCCAAGTACACCAAAAATTTCATTAGTGCTTTTTAAGTGCAGGATTTGCGGTGTATTACTGCATTTTATTTGAGATGTTTTTGTTCGTAGTACGGAGGGTATTTATTTAGCAATGCAGAATAATAATTTTTATTTATAAAAACTTGTATTTAAACTGAATGCGTTTCTAATTTGCGAAACCAAATAGCCGCCATTTTGCGGTAGGAGGAGCGCATCGCGTGAGCGGTTATATTAAAAGCACCTTAAATGTTATATTTCGGGTGCTCTCCGTGATGTATCCTGTAGAACGCCGATAAGCAGACAACTTTCAACAAAAAGAAAAGCAGAGAATGGAATTTAAATTAGAGATATAGGCCATGGCATACATAACTCAATCAGATTAGACATTCCCTTAAATACCAAAAGACGGGACGGACAAGTCGTGCGCATGATGGTAAGCGAGTCACGCCTATCCATAACAGGTGCTGTGCCACTCAGAGCTTTAAATTGCAAAGATCTTAAGAGCACCGCCACTGTGCCCGTCACCTTGGGACATAAGTTGACAAGTCCCATGTGCCTGTAATATCACCAGCACCCTTACCCTTCAAGACCGGAACGCGGTAGGTAATGCTCACATTACTAGTTGGCGGCAGAAATTGGTAATGTTGCTGCACAGAACAGTGGAGGAGAATA